ACTTTGCCTTCAAAATGAATGCTGAAAAGGTAAGAATTAAATTGTCTTTAAAAATGAACCCTTTCTTATTGATTTTTTTCTATTTTTCAGGTTTATGAAAGCTGTTTCAAGATTTTCGAGAGACCATTGGAAAGCGAAATGATTATCCATATAGTTAATATGGATAATTTGGAGAGTTTCTTGGAATTTTAAACTGTTTCTTCCATTTTATAAACAACTTTGCCTTCAAAATGAATGCTGAAAAGGTAAGAATTAAATTTTCTTTAAAAATGAACCCTTTTTTTATTAATTTTTTTCTATTTTTCAGGTTTATGAAAGCTGTTTCAAGATTTTCGAGAGACCATTGGAAAGCGAAATGATTATCCATATAGTTAATATGGATAATTTGGAGAGTTTCTTGGAATTTCAAACTGTTTCTTCCATTTTATAAACAACTTTGCCTTCAAAATGAATGCTGAAAAGGTAAGAATTAAATTTTCTTTAAAAATGAACCCTTTTTTTATTAATTTTTTTCTATTTTTCAGGTTTATGAAAGCTGTTTCAAGATTTTCGAGAGACCATTGGAAAGCGAAATGATTATCCATATAGTTAATATGGATAATGTGGATATATATCCGGATTATAAATCGAGATACCTGGAAAACAAGATCGTCGTTCACTACGCCTTTTTAGAAGGATTCCTGTACCAGCAAATGGATAACCTAGTGACCTATTTTCACTTATACATCTGGAGAAAAGGATTTTCGCTTGCTTAGTAAAATGTAATTATTAAATTATCTATATAAAAGAACCATATTATAATGATATTTTTCATTTTTTAGATATTCTGAAATCAACGGATTTTTATAAATCGAGACACCTGGAAAACAAGATCGTCGTTCACTACGCCTTTTTAGAAGGATTCCTGTACCAGCAAATGGATAACCTAGTGACCTATACGAGGGCGAATCAAATATGATCTGAAATTTTGTCTTTAAAAAATTTATTTATAAATATTATTTTGAATACATATAAAGAAATAAATATTTTGAATTTTTCTATGAAATTTCCTCTTTTATTACCACAAATTTCCTACCGAATCGGAAGGAATTTTTTAATCCCGTAATCAAATAATGAATTTGGATAAATTGGAATTGTAGGGTGGTTCTTCTAGAATATTTTACAATGCATTTTGTCCAAGTTTTCTTGAATGAATGTAGCTGTGCGTGACCAAACGTTGCCATGGAGCAAAATCGCACTTCGAATATGCTTGTATTGTCTTTTTCGTCGATAGTCAAGCTTCAATTCATCAAAAAGTTGACAGAGTACACCCTTAAATTCACGTCATTCATGAAAAAAAAAAAAAAATCTATGAGCTATATGCTTCCTGCAAGAACTTTCCCAGCAAAAAGACGAATCTTGTCTTCTGGCATTCCCGCTCTTCCAGTTTTTCACATTTTTCTTTTTACCAATCGTAGACATGGATCGTTGAGAGCATGTTTCCAGTGAACTGTGTAGTTACTCGACCCAAAATTTTGGCAAATTTTAAGCTCTCCCATGACAAAAATTTAATATTAATCCGTTGCTCAACAGACCTGTGCACCTCTTGCTCAGACATGATGGTACTAACAGCCAACCGGCTCTAACGAGGCAAACTGATTTACTCACCTTTACTTTACATCCCCATGCAACATATATCAAGACGTCATAAAAGTTAAAGGCAAATATGACATCAATTTTTAGACTTTATTTACTTAGTTGTAAGTGAAATATATTTTACGTTAAGTAAAATGGGTTGCCTATTTTTTTATATAATTAACATTTGGTTTTTAGACTATATATTATTTTATAATTAACCTATTTAATTAAATTTAGTATTCATTTCATTATATATCGTAGATATTTATTTCCAAATAAACGGTAGAAAATGAAATACCTTTTTAATATTTTGTTTTATGCTTGACGTTGACATTCATATTGAAGTTAATGACGTTGACGTTTGGCTTGGCGTCTGTTCCATTTTATAATTTCGTCTGTTTTGCCGGTAAGTTTGATTTTATTCTTTGACATTTTTTTACAAATTATGTGTGATAAAATTAAAATCAGGCCAATTTTTATGGTTATTATTCAATTATAGGAACTGATAATTGTTTTACAACTGTGATAGTTTGAAGTAGAATTTGTTAAATTAGATAAATGCATAATTTACTTTAGACAAGCTAAAGGACGCCAAACTAGTTTAATATGGTTTTACACTTATTATAACGTTTATAAATATAAATAAATGCCATAAGTTCAAATGAAATATTAAATATAAACTTTTTTAATATTCTATAGGAGATTTTAGGAATATTAATTAATATATATGATGTCGATATAGGAATGACCTATAAGTACGAGAGAGAAAGAGCATCAAACAATTGCAGTATTGTTCGAGAGAGAGAGAGAGAGAGAGAGAAAAAGATAATGAAATAGCGATAAAATTAAAAATCAAATATATTTTAACAATTTATTAAATTATATAAAAAAGTATTTTTATTTCTACAAATTTTATTTATACATCCTTTACTTTATATCTCCATTTTCCTATTTTTCCTATTCTTTCAAAAGCGAATAATTAAATTTACATTCTATATTAGGTACAAATACAAAGTATATTCATCAATTTAATTTGAACTAGTCGAACAATTTAATTTTAGTATAATTTTACTCATAATCTTCAAATTGTATCGTCATTATCACAAAAAGTAGGTATACTTTGTGTATTCTAAATTCTATATTCGCATAGATCGAACGGAATATACATATTTGTATATTATTCTTTATATTTATATTCTTTTCTAAAAAAAAAAAAAAATTTTATAGAGTAAGCCGAAGCTAGAAAACATGGATCAAAACGCCGAAGTACCAGTCGTTAAGGGTAATTATTCAAATTTCTACAGATTTACTGGTATTAAAAATTTGATACGAAATTTTTATTTCCTATAATTTTTCCCAGAACCGTCCCAAGTGCCCAATCAAAACCCACCCAATGCCACTTCGACACCGGCGAAGAAAATTTTTGCGCCGTCTACCTCCTCGTCCTCCGCACCAAGTAAATATTTCTAATCTCCTAATCTCATATACTGAGTCAATATGACAATCGGATCAGACTGTTATAGCTATCATTAATCGATCAAAAACGAATAGTTGAATTGTCCAAAATATTGGAGCTATTATTCATTTCCGAAACAATAACACAACCGTTTAATACCTATCGTAATACATTCTTTTTTAATGCTATTAACTTTCTATTTTCTGATTGTCATAGAACCACTTAGTATACGAACGAAAAATCCAACTTCTTATATTACTCATTAAATGATTGCGCTCATATCATCATGTATCATCTTTCCTTATCTATTATCCTCGTTACCTAAACAGTAATTCTATTAAAATAGTGTATCAAATTAAAAATCAACTGTGATTAATAGACTCAACAATACAAAATATTCCTCGTAGACATTATGTAATACAAGAAGTTTCAAAAAAATGATACATGTTCTAAAAATATTGCTATTTTAATTTGTTTTTAATAGACGCAAATGTTAACAAAGAAATACGGGCCACAGCGGCCCGTGTTTTATCGAAGAAAAAAAGGACCTCGAAGAGTCGGGAAGACGGGCAGGCGGAGCCTGCGAAGAAAAAAAAAAATAACGTAATAAATATCAATATTTACAATGCTAAGTGTATTAACATGTATAATGAATAAAAAAAATTAAAAATTTTAAACTAATTTATACTCACGTGTACGTTAACCTCGCTTAGGCTTATCTATAAATCTGATTGTTTTGACCATTTGCTCTGGCATTTCCTTTTTCCATTTTCGGACTCAGCTCGTCATTCTACATTGGAAAACATCTGTCTCGTCTCCGATGTCCGCTAAAGCAAATTTGAGCCCCTTTTTCTCACGCCGTCCTCTCATTTCCACGCATAGGTCTATGGTAATAGCCTGAAATTGAAATGAACTTTAGTAATGATGTTGATGCTTTACTTTTTACTTTAGTTAAGTTGAATTGTATTTCACAATTGCATATTACCATTATTTCGTTTTTCGTTTTCGTTCCCATCTTGCTTAACGTATATGTATTGAAATTCATACACAACATAAATTGACATTGTTGACATACGTCAGTAATGTCAAAATTGTCAAATTCTAATAAAATCAACGAAGGAAAGAGATGAAAAAGAATTATAGCTGAATTGTTCATTATATTGATCCGGAGATGCTACATTTAAAAGAACGCTACTTTTTTGGTGTAAGAACCGTTTGTAAAATATAGATCTGCCGAAAGAAGATTCATAGGCCTTTTACCGTTCGGGTCAGTGTCTACATGAACCTTACGATACCTACGTAAATGTAAGTAAATGAATAAAAAATCGTTTCAGCAATCTTTTTTGTTGCATAATCTGTAAAAATAAACAAGATTAAATAACCCGTTTAAAATATCGTCTAGAAATTTAAAAAATGGAAAATGCCAAAACTGTCAAGTGTCAACAGTGTCATTTGAAACTATCGTCGGAAAAGACACTTGCGCTTCGATACGCTTAATTTCGTATTTTTACTGAATTTTCAGCGTTAAATTCAAGGTAAGTGAGCTTATTTGACGATTTAATACCTTTACAAACAATCTACGATATTTAAATTGATCCCGTACAAGAAATAACCCATTTAAAACATTGTAGGTTAAGTTTCATAAAGCCGCTTTTTTACCAAATTATTTTACTTTTTAGAAGACCTGCAGCCTACATTTGATAAAAAATAGCTAACTGAAGATGAGAAAAAGGACCCAGTACGAATATTGTGCCAAATTTCCTTGATTATTAGTCAAAATTTGGACTCGAAGATTGGTCTACGTAAACAATCCTACCTCAATACATGGTGTTACATTTAGAGGAACACCACTTTTTGGGTGTAGGAACTATTTCCATAGTATGGATATGTCGAAAGAGAACTAAGTAAGCGTCGTTTTAAAGAGAAAATGATTAAAATCGGCCCAGATATAATGAAAATGAATAAACCAATCATTTTACCTTCGTTCGAAGAACTACTTGGGTTACTTTTTTTCAAATGTATAAGCTGCCTTAATCGTAAGTATTTGATAAAATGCTTTATTAACACAAAATATCATTTGATTAAGATTGTTTTATACGAAAATCGTAAAAATTTATTGATATTTAACAAAGTATCGAATGATTTTTTGTTACTCGTAGAATAAAAAGGAACATTTATTACTTATAATTTCACCTTATTTTGCAGGATTGACACTGAAAAATAGGAAGTAAATGACTACTAGAAACGTAAAGCAAACCACCAACAACAATTAGCTGTTTCAAGACTTTCGAAAGACTATTGGAAATTGAAAAAAATATCCATATAGTTAATATGGACAATTTGGAAAGTTTTTTGGAATTTCAAACTTTTTTTTCCATTTTATAAACAAATTTGCCTTCAAAATGAATGCTGAAAAGGTAAGAATTAAATTTTCTTTAAAAATGAACCCTTTCTTATTGATTTTTTTCTATTTTTCAGGTTTATGAAAGCTGTTTCAAGATTTTCGAGAGACCATTGGAAAGCGAAATGATTATCCATATAGTTAATATGGATAATTTGGAGAGTTTCTTGGAATTTCAAACTGTTTCTTCCATTTTATAAACAACTTTGCCTTCAAAATGAATGCTGAAAAGGTAAGAATTAAATTTTCTTTAAAAATGAACCCTTTCTTATTGATTTTTTTCTATTTTTCAGGTTTATGAAAGCTGTTTCAAGATTTTCGAGAGACTGAAAATGAATGCTGAAAAGGTAAGAATTAAATTTTCTTTAAAAATGAACCCTTTCTTATTGATTTTTTTCTATTTTTCAGGTTTATGAAAGCTGTTTCAAGATTTTCGAGAGACCATTGGAAAGCGAAATGATTATCCATATAGTTAATATGGATAATTTGGAGAGTTTCTTGGAATTTCAAACTGTTTCTTCCATTTTATAAACAACTTTGCCTTCAAAATGAATGCTGAAAAGGTAAGAATTAAATTTTCTTTAAAAATGAACCCTTTCTTATTGATTTTTTTCTATTTTTCAGGTTTATGAAAGCTGTTTCAAGATTTTCGAGAGACCATTGGAAAGCGAAATGATTATCCATATAGTTAATATGGATAATTTGGAGAGTTTCTTGGAATTTCAAACTGTTTCTTCCATTTTATAAACAACTTTGCCTTCAAAATGAATGCTGAAAAGGTAAGAATTAAATTGTCTTTAAAAATGAACCCTTTCTTATTGATTTTTTTCTATTTTTCAGGTTTATGAAAGCTGTTTCAAGATTTTCGAGAGACCATTGGAAAGCGAAATGATTATCCATATAGTTAATATGGATAATTTGGAGAGTTTCTTGGAATTTCAAACTGTTTCTTCCATTTTATAAACAACTTTGCCTTCAAAATGAATGCTGAAAAGGTAAGAATTAAATTTTCTTTAAAAATGAACCCTTTTTTTATTAATTTTTTTCTATTTTTCAGGTTTATGAAAGCTGTTTCAAGATTTTCGAGAGACCATTGGAAAGCGAAATGATTATCCATATAGTTAATATGGATAATTTGGAGAGTTTCTTGGAATTTCAAACTGTTTCTTCCATTTTATAAACAACTTTGCCTTCAAAATGAATGCTGAAAAGGTAAGAATTAAATTTTCTTTAAAAATGAACCCTTTTTTTATTAATTTTTTTCTATTTTTCAGGTTTATGAAAGCTGTTTCAAGATTTTCGAGAGACCATTGGAAAGCGAAATGATTATCCATATAGTTAATATGGATAATGTGGATATATATCCGGATTATAAATCGAGATACCTGGAAAACAAGATCGTCGTTCACTACGCCTTTTTAGAAGGATTCCTGTACCAGCAAATGGATAACCTAGTGACCTATTTTCACTTATACATCTGGAGAAAAGGATTTTCGCTTGCTTAGTAAAATGTAATTATTAAATTATCTATATAAAAGAACCATATTATAATGATATTTTTCATTTTTTAGATATTCTGAAATCAACGGATTTTTATAAATCGAGACACCTGGAAAACAAGATCGTCGTTCACTACGCCTTTTTAGAAGGATTCCTGTACCAGCAAATGGATAACCTAGTGACCTATACGAGGGCGAATCAAATATGATCTGAAATTTTGTCTTTAAAAAATTTATTTATAAATATTATTTTGAATACATATAAAGAAATAAATATTTTGAATTTTTCTATGAAATTTCCTCTTTTATTACCACAAATTTCCTACCGAATCGGAAGGAATTTTTTAATCCCGTAATCAAATAATGAATTTGGATAAATTGGAATTGTAGGGTGGTTCTTCTAGAATATTTTACAATGCATTTTGTCCAAGTTTTCTTGAATGAATGTAGCTGTGCGTGACCAAACGTTGCCATGGAGCAAAATCGCACTTCGAATATGCTTGTATTGTCTTTTTCGTCGATAGTCAAGCTTCAATTCATCAAAAAGTTGACAGAGTACACCCTTAAATTCACGTCATTCATGAAAAAAAAAAAAAAATCTATGAGCTATATGCTTCCTGCAAGAACTTTCCCAGCAAAAAGACGAATCTTGTCTTCTGGCATTCCCGCTCTTCCAGTTTTTCACATTTTTCTTTTTACCAATCGTAGACATGGATCGTTGAGAGCATGTTTCCAGTGAACTGTGTAGTTACTCGACCCAAAATTTTGGCAAATTTTAAGCTCTCCCATGACAAAAATTTAATATTAATCCGTTGCTCAACAGACCTGTGCACCTCTTGCTCAGACATGATGGTACTAACAGCCAACCGGCTCTAACGAGGCAAACTGATTTACTCACCTTTACTTTACATCCCCATGCAACATATATCAAGACGTCATAAAAGTTAAAGGCAAATATGACATCAATTTTTAGACTTTATTTACTTAGTTGTAAGTGAAATATATTTTACGTTAAGTAAAATGGGTTGCCTATTTTTTTATATAATTAACATTTGGTTTTTAGACTATATATTATTTTATAATTAACCTATTTAATTAAATTTAGTATTCATTTCATTATATATCGTAGATATTTATTTCCAAATAAACGGTAGAAAATGAAATACCTTTTTAATATTTTGTTTTATGCTTGACGTTGACATTCATATTGAAGTTAATGACGTTGACGTTTGGCTTGGCGTCTGTTCCATTTTATAATTTCGTCTGTTTTGCCGGTAAGTTTGATTTTATTCTTTGACATTTTTTTACAAATTATGTGTGATAAAATTAAAATCAGGCCAATTTTTATGGTTATTATTCAATTATAGGAACTGATAATTGTTTTACAACTGTGATAGTTTGAAGTAGAATTTGTTAAATTAGATAAATGCATAATTTACTTTAGACAAGCTAAAGGACGCCAAACTAGTTTAATATGGTTTTACACTTATTATAACGTTTATAAATATAAATAAATGCCATAAGTTCAAATGAAATATTAAATATAAACTTTTTTAATATTCTATAGGAGATTTTAGGAATATTAATTAATATATATGATGTCGATATAGGAATGACCTATAAGTACGAGAGAGAAAGAGCATCAAACAATTGCAGTATTGTTCGAGAAAGAGAGAGAGAGAGAGAAAAAGATAATGAAATAGCGATAAAATTAAAAATCAAATATATTTTAACAATTTATTAAATTATATAAAAAAGTATTTTTATTTCTACAAATTTTATTTATACATCCTTTACTTTATATCTCCATTTTCCTATTTTTCCTATTCTTTCAAAAGCGAATAATTAAATTTACATTCTATATTAGGTACAAATACAAAGTATATTCATCAATTTAATTTGAACTAGTCGAACAATTTAATTTTAGTATAATTTTACTCATAATCTTCAAATTGTATCGTCATTATCACAAAAAGTAGGTATACTTTGTGTATTCTAAATTCTATATTCGCATAGATCGAACGGAATATACATATTTGTATATTATTCTTTATATTTATATTCTTTTCTAAAAAAAAAAAAAAATTTTATAGAGTAAGCCGAAGCTAGAAAACATGGATCAAAACGCCGAAGTACCAGTCGTTAAGGGTAATTATTCAAATTTCTACAGATTTACTGGTATTAAAAATTTGATACGAAATTTTTATTTCCTATAATTTTTCCCAGAACCGTCCCAAGTGCCCAATCAAAACCCACCCAATGCCACTTCGACACCGGCGAAGAAAATTTTTGCGCCGTCTACCTCCTCGTCCTCCGCACCAAGTAAATATTTCTAATCTCCTAATCTCATATACTGAGTCAATATGACAATCGGATCAGACTGTTATAGCTATCATTAATCGATCAAAAACGAATAGTTGAATTGTCCAAAATATTGGAGCTATTATTCATTTCCGAAACAATAACACAACCGTTTAATACCTATCGTAATACATTCTTTTTTAATGCTATTAACTTTCTATTTTCTGATTGTCATAGAACCACTTAGTATACGAACGAAAAATCCAACTTCTTATATTACTCATTAAATGATTGCGCTCATATCATCATGTATCATCTTTCCTTATCTATTATCCTCGTTACCTAAACAGTAATTCTATTAAAATAGTGTATCAAATTAAAAATCAACTGTGATTAATAGACTCAACAATACAAAATATTCCTCGTAGACATTATGTAATACAAGAAGTTTCAAAAAAATGATACATGTTCTAAAAATATTGCTATTTTAATTTGTTTTTAATAGACGCAAATGTTAACAAAGAAATACGGGCCACAGCGGCCCGTGTTTTATCGAAGAAAAAAAGGACCTCGAAGAGTCGGGAAGACGGGCAGGCGGAGCCTGCGAAGAAAAAAAAAATAACGTAATAAATATCAATATTTACAATGCTAAGTGTATTAACATGTATAATAAATAAAAAAAATTAAAAATTTTAAACTGCATATTTATTTATTAAATTTAATACAAGTAGTTTTACCTTTTAATAAATGTAGTACTATCAGGATTAATATCATTGGTGTCGCATTAAGGGCACTGGGTTTTACCATCCGCCAGTGCCCATCGTCTAAATTATTATTATTTTATACTCGAACAAAACATATGGTGAGAGCAAAAAAACAGTCCGTGACTTTCCATAAGCGCCAACTGATTCTAAAAAACAAAGCAAATAACAAAATAAATATGGCAAATTTCTATGGCAACTGTTATTAAAAAATTAGGTATATAATAAATCGGTAAAGTTTGTGCATACAATCTTACTTTTAAATGCGA